CGGGAAATCTTCGCCATCATGCAAAAATTCAACCTTCGGCTAAACCCGAAGAAGTGCACCTTCGGCGTCCAAAGAGGCAAATTCTTGGGCTACATGGTGAGTCGAAGGGGTATTGAGGCCAATCCCGAGAAGATCCAGGCCATCATCAACATGGAACCCCCACGCAATGTGAAGGAAGTCCAACGGTTGACGGGCCGCCTGGCAGCCCTCAACCGCTTTCTATCTAAATCGGCGGAGAAGTCTCTGCCCTTCTTCCAGATCATGAGGAAGACGGCTGGTTTTCTATGGACTCCAGAATGCCAGGGGGCTTTCGACGAGCTCAAACGATATCTATCTTTACCTCATGTGCTCTCCAAACCCAAGGTAGGGGAGACCCTTTACCTCTACCTTGGGGTCAGCCCGGCGGCCATCAGCTCTGTGCTCATCCGGGAGGAAGACGGCATCCAACATGCCATCTTCTACGTTAGCAAGACCCTAATGGAGGCCGAGCTCAGGTACTCCCCTGTGGAAAAAACGGTGTTAGCCATCGTTTGGACTGTCAAGAAGTTGGGCCACTACTTTCAGGCTCACCCGGTTCAGGTCCTCACTCACCAGCCCCTCGGCGCCCTCATGAGGAGCCCCACCAGCTCCTCCCGCATGGTGAAATGGGCTATCTTCTTGAGCCGTCCAAGGCCTGCCATCAAAGGCCAAGCCCTGGCGGACTTTGTGACGGAGTGTACCGCAAGGGCAGCCACGAACGGGGAGCCCTCGGTTACCTCGGACGACTGGTGGACCCTCTACACCGACGGCTCCTCCGCGACCAAAGCATGCGGGGTAGGGGTAGTCCTCATTACTCCCGAGGGCTTCAGAGCCTACTATGCAATCCGATTCTCCTTCAAAGTCTCCAACAACGAGACCGAATATGAGGCCCTCCTATGTGGCCTTCGGCTGGCTGCCAACATGAGGGCTCGGCAGATCCACATCAAATGCGACTCCAAGTTGGTCGTTGGCCAAATCTCCGAGGAATATGAGGCCAAGGAGGGGAGAATGAAACAGTACAAGGAAGCGGCCAAGGAGTTGCTTAAGGTATTTGAGGCGCACTCTCTCACTCAAATACCGAGGGCTCAGAACTCCGAGGCCGACATATTATCTAAGCTCTCGGCCGACTCCCCCGAGCACATCTCCAAAATTGCCAAAATCGAGGAACTCAGCCTCTCAAGCATCCATGCAAGCCCCGTTATGAACATACAACAACGTCAGGAGGATTGGATCTCAGATATCACCGCCTTCATCTCCACAGGGCAGCTACCCGAGAATGAGGCCCGCGCTAAACTGGCAAAGGTGAGGGCTCCCAGCTACACCATCGAAGATGGAAGGCTCTACAAACGATCTTACAATGGCACGCTACTTCGGTGCCTTCATCCAGATGAAGGCGAGGTCGCAATGGAGGAAGTGCACAGTGGCACTTGCTCAGCTCACCAGGGACCCTTCTCCATGTCCCGAAGGCTCATTCTCCAGGGCTACTTCTGGCCAACCATGGCCAGGGATTGTGCTGACCTTGCCCGGAGGTGCACCGCATGTCAACATTTCCAGAAAGCTCCCGGCAGGCCAGCGGTCAACTATGCCCCCATCAGCACCTCTGTCCCATTTTCTCGATGGGGGATAGACCTTGTGGGCCCTCTGCCGAGGGGTACCTCCAACAACAGATACATCATTGTGGCCGTAGACTATTTTACCAAGTGGGTGGAGGCTGAACCCCTCGCCAGCATCACAGAGGCGAAGTGCCGTCACTTCGTCCTCAAGAACATCCTCACAAGGTTTGGCGTCCCCCAGCAGATCATCTCCAACAATGGGACACAATTTGAGGCAGCCCCCTTTTGTGCCCTTCTGGAGGCATGGGGCATCAAACACACCTTCTCCTCCGTTGCCTACCCTCAAGGCAACGGGCAAGTAGAGAACGCCAACCGGACCTTGCTCGAGGGCCTCAAAAAGAAGCTGGAGGCCGAGGGTGGTGGCTGGGTGGAAGAACTCCACAACATCCTTTGGGCCTACCGCACCACCCCTCGGCGAGCAACAGGAGAAACACCCTTCTCCCTCTGCTACGGTTTTGAAGCCAAAGCTCCTACGGAAGTCACCCTTCCTACCCGAAGGGTGATCCAATATGATCCCGAGGTCAACGACAGCAACATGGCCCTCGACCTCCACCTCATTTCAGAACGCCGGGAGCAGCCTTCATTCGGGCAGAAAACTACCGAAGGCAAATTAAAAGCTACATCGACGCCAAAGTTCGCACCCGAGAATTTCAAGTGGGGGACTATGTCCTCCGGAGGAGGGAAGCCAACCAACCAACCGAGGGAGGAAAAATGGCACCAAAATTCGAAGGCCCCTACATCATAGCAGCCATCATCAAACCCGGGACCTACAAGCTCAAACGCCCCAATGGGAAAGAAGTCCCTAGGCACTGGAATGTACACCATTTAGTTAAATTTTATCAATAATGTAAGAGCGGCCAAGCCCTCATAACTAGTGAATGTACTATCCTATGGCCCAAGGCCTCCAATTTCGAAGAATGAAGATACATTCAAGACATCAAGCCCTCATACTGACTACAAGCCCCAGGCCTCACCACGAGAAGAACCCCCTCCGGCACCAAGTGCCGAGGGCGGACACCATCAACACCTACAACAAACAGTGAAAACACCACGTGTTTTCAGTCAAGACCCCTCGGTACCAAGTACCGAGGGAGGGAACTCCTATCACCAACAACAAGGAACGCCATGTGTTTTATTTCCCTTCGGCACCCAGTACCGAGGATACATCCCCACCTTCAACATCAAAAAAGAAAAGATGAGAACACCAAGTGTTCCTACAGAAGACCCTTCGGCACCCAGTGCCGAGGGTACACCTCCATCATCAAACATCGAAACGAAAAAAAAAACACCAAATGTTCCAAAGAAGACCCCTCGACACCCAGTGCCAGGGATATGCTCTCCTATCAACTTCCAAACATCTGTTGGGAAACACCAAGTGTTTCATTTGAAGACCCTTCGGTACCAAGTACCGAGGGTAGACGCCTACATCAACTACGACAAAAGAGAACACCAAGTGTTCCTACAGAAGACCCCTCGGTACCAAGTACCGGGGGCTACACATCGAAACTAACACCAAGTGTTGTTTCTAAAAGCCGTACCCCACGAGGACGCATATACCGAAGGCGCCACCATCGGTGCCGGCGGCACGTAGTGCCCCCGGCCATTTGCAACTAGTGTGCAAATGAAAACCCTTCCTTGAAACGCTTTCCGCGTCACTACCCCCAGGGTATGACAGGCATGAGAAATGCCCAGGATTCGACTTTCAAAAACGGAACGCTATCCGCGTCACTACCCCAGGGTATGACAGGCATGAGAAATGCCCAGGATTCGACTTCCAAACCGAAACGCTCCCCGCGCCACCACCCCAAGGGTGTGGCAGGCCACGGACTATGTCTAGCGCCGAGGGGACGACTTTCAAAAATGAGGCGCTTTCCGCGCCATCCCCCAAGGGGAGGCAGGTTACGGACCACCATATCTTGTGCCCAAGAAACGTCCCTCGATCCCCTCGGAACTCGGAAGGTTAACCCGAGGGAGGAGAGCCATTGGTGTATTCTGATGGTCTCCTAATAGGCCCAGCCTTACCAAGAAACCAAGTTTCTTGATGCCTTCCCTTCACCACCAACCAAAAAAAAACAAAAAAAGAGGGGGTGAAGGGGAGTAGACTCAACGAGAAATCAAAGAGTACACTCCAACAGATCACAACAAGCCGAGGGCTCCCCCCGGGAACACCTCCGGTAACTGAAGGCTCCTATTTCCCGAAGGATACTACTCGAACAAATAGCAGCAAGGAACGGCTAAGTCCACTGCCTGGCCACCTCCGGTCACACAAACACCGAAGGCTTCAGCAAAGGTCAAAATCTGCAAATTTTAAAGTGTATGCCGAGGGCACACACTCATCATTGGCTTTCTTCACAACAACAGGATTCCACAACAACTCAAGGGGCCCACGATCACCCGAAGGGTCCCGTTCATGTATCCAGAGGGCTCTACACCTGGAAGCTTGACATCACTTTACACTTGCAAAAAAAATTCTAAGTCCTAAAAATTGGGCCCCCGGCTCAATCAACATTACAGCCAGGGGAATACAATAGCCGAAGGCTATGCGATACAACAACACTTGCAAACAAAAAAATTCTATGTCCTAAAGATGGGCCCCCGGCTCAATCAGTATTGCAGCTAGAGGAATATGACAATCGAAGGCCATACATAAAGAAGGGATGCCATCTCCCGAAGGCTCCCAAGGGAAAATCCACACTTAGAATATTTTCTAAGTCCTACATGTTTTTCCCCCAGTCAACTACTCATACATCAAGAAGGGATGCCATCTCCCGAAGGCTCCCAAGGGAAAATCCACACTTAGAATATTTTCTAAGTCCTGCATATTCCCCCCCCCCCCCCCCCCCGGTCAGCTACTCATACATCATGGAGGGATGCCATCTCCTGAAGGCTCCCAAGGGAAACTCTACACTTAGAAGATTTTCTAAGTCCTACATATTTCACCCTCATCTCAAGGGACCTAATTGCCGAAGGCTGCCTATCAATCGAAGGCTACAGTACACAAGGAATCAACATTCAAGAAAATTTCCTAAGTCCTAAAGAATTGGCCCCCGGCCTACTCAATATTTCAGTTGAGGCTCCACAGTAGCCGAAGGCTACGTGGCATACTACACTTGCAAAAAAATTCTAGGTCCTGTACATTGGGCCCTCGGTCCAGCAATCACACATCAGGAAGGGATGCCATATCCCGAAGGCTCTCAAGGGGAAATCTACACTTAGAAATTTTTCTAAGTCCTAAAACATACATTCAAAGAAACACAGGCATACATCCATAGCAAGACGAAGGCATATATTCGACAATGAACAAATCAAAAGGAAGCATGTTATATGTCAAAGGCCCGAGGGCATATATGTACTCATTCATTCAAAAAAGGGAGTTTAAATACACTGTTACAAAGGATGCCGAGGCCAACAATTACAACACGAAAGGGGGGATTACAATTCAAGAAGGGGGTACTGTGGACATCGCCTCGCTCTCGGCTTCATCTTCTTCACCCCCAAGGCCGCACTCCCGGAGGGTCTCCGAGTCTTCAAGAACTGGCCTCTCTTCCCCCTCGGAGAGCGGGATCCTGACATCTGGCTGGCGAGGGGGGAGACCATAAGCCTCTGGACGGAACTCCTCCGGTGCCACCTGGAAGTGCTTCGCAAGCTTCCGGTAGATGAGGCGTTGGGTGAAGAACTCCCTGCCTTGGTAGTACGAGTCGCCCCTCTCGGCAAGCCACATCTTTCCGGGGCCCCCGACCCACTCGTCTACTGAAGCCCCCACTACCGAAGCGAGCCACTCCCTCCGGTCTTCGGCCTTCCACCCTTCGGTCGTGAAGCTGATCACCGCATCCTCTCGGGCCTTGGAGACGGCCTCTTCTTGAGCCGCGCGGGCTTCATCGGCAGCAATACGGGCGGCCTCGGCGGCAGCCTCCCCGGCCCTGGCTAGCCCTTCATTGACCCCTTCGGCCCTTGCAGCCTGCACCCTCTGCTCCATGCCGTCGGTGGCCAGCCGGAGAGAGTCCTCAGCTTCAGCAAGCTTCTTCCTGAGGAGGGCGGCCTCCCCCTCGGCGGCACCCTTAGCCTCCCTCATTTGATCCACCCTTCGGAGGTGCTCGCAGAGGCCCATAAATGTCTGCAATTCACGAAGGCAAGAATAAGGCATAATGAACATAATACAGAAGGAAAACATAACAATGAGCAAAGAAGGGAAGGTGACTTACGGAGGCAGCATTCAGGAGGACCTTCGCCTCGAGGGATCCCTCGTCCAGCCGGGCAAGGGCCAGTCGGTCGGCCGACGGCAGCATCTGGCTCATCAGAGCCGAAGGGTTCAAGCTGCCCTCCAACACAGAGGCCCCCTTCGGTACTAACGCCTCCAACCTCTCCCGCCCAAAGAACTCCTGATTGATTTGTTCCTGGGGGGTGGAGGCAGAAGCGTGCCCTTCGTCCACAATCACCACCACATCGGTGATCGGTTGTTTGGTAGGGGCGGTGGTCTTTGGCTTCTTGGCCGGGGGCTCGGTCCCCTTTCCAGCAATCTTCTTCTTAACGGGCCCAGCACCCTTGGACCCTCCGGCGCCAGCAGCAGCGCCAGCAATTTGAGAGGGCCCCTCCCTGGCAGAAGCGCCCGTCGGGGGCTTCTTCTTCCCTTTCGCGTTTTTCAAAGCGAAGAGGGAACCAACGTCCATATTGTTACCTGCAAGCAACAAAAAAAAACAGGAGGGTTAGATCGAAGGTTACCAATTACTACGTCATAAAAAAAGGGGCGGAATAAGAGAGAACTATCAACGCATCAGTGAACAATTCGGTGATCACCTCCGGCGCCTTCGAAGACCCTATCGAGGGGAGGGTATCTTTCATCCGAAGAGCCCCTCGGCCTGAACTGCCGGAAGCCCAGGTTAAGCAAATCCTCCGGAAGAGTAACTTCTCTGATCTTGACATGCTTGTCAGACCCCTCCGGCTTCTTGGCAAGCACTTTGCCATTCTTTTCCAAAGCTGCGCTCCCCACCTTCGGATGGCGCCGGAAGCTATTACGGAGCTGGGCCGGGAAGGGGTTCTCCTCGAGGCGGATATAGCAGAACCTCTCTTTCCACCCCTTGTGAGACGAGGGCACATCATCAAAAAGCCGGAACTCCGGTACCTGCTGAAGGTTGGCAAAGCCCTCAGCATTTGAATGTCCCCCCCGGCAAAGGTTGAAGGACATGAAGAATTGATCGAGTGTGGGCTCGACCCCCCGGCTCTGACACAAGGAGAGGAAGCCGGCCACATAGGAGTGGCTGTTGGGCGTTAGCTGGCAAGGGGCCAACCCCACAAATCTCAGATACTCCAAGAGAAAAGGATGGAGCGGGAACCGGAGCCCCATCTCCACCGAGAGGGTGTGAGCAGCAAAGCACCCCTCGGGTGCGTATCGCAGCAAATCATCCGCCCTGGGCTCCACCACGCGCGCCGAAGGTCCAACCAGCATCTGGGTGGACTGGTATTCCGCCGGGGACGCCTTCGTCTTCAGCTCTAGAGCGGCAGTATTCAAGAACGAATGGCCCTCGGGTATGCCCACCGGCCGCCCGGCATCCACTGCCGCTTGCTTCTTCCTCGGGGCTGCCTTCGTCTTGTGTTTCTTCCCGGGAGCCACACTTATGGGCGTCGGGTCCGATGGCCGGGAGGAGCTGGCTTCCCCGGCACCCCGGGGGGGAGGAATGGCAACCGTCACCTTCAGCCTCTCCCTCTCCTCTTCCTGCTCGGCGGTTTGCACGGCGAGGGCAAGCTCTTCATCCTCATTTTCTTGCTCGAAGCCCTCGGCTTCGACTTCGGCCTGGAGGTCCTTCTCCACTTCCATGGCCACTGCGGCATCACCACCTGCCGAGGACTCCACACTCGAAGACTCCACATCTGAGCATGTCTCCATCTCTACCGAAGGCTCCCCCGAGATATCCTGGGAGTCGCTCTGTGATGACATCTGCTCACTAATTCGAAGGCTCGGGAAAACTACGGTTTCCTAGGAAATTCTATCTCCTAAACTAGGGGCACAAGGCACAGCTAGACTAGAAGGAGAAAGGCGGGGGGGAACTGACCTTGAAAGCTGAGTTGTTACCGAAGGCTGGAGTTTCTCTCTCTAGATTTTTTGCCAGAGCTTCGCTACACTGAGTTCACACAGCGGGGAATGGCCATGGCCTTGGGGTATTTATAGGCGACGGAATCCGGGCTTGGGCCTGGATTCCGGGCCTCCGGATGGACCGCCATCATTACACACCGCGTCCTCACCCAACCAGTGATGCCGCCCACGGACAGCCAGCCATCACGCGCCACGTGTCCCCCCCATCAACGGCTATATCCTGACGTTACGTATTCCAACGGCTATATTTCCAATGGCTATATTCTGGAAGCCCCCGGGTTTTCTACTGCACTCCGCTACATCAAGGAGAGCCTCCGGATACACTTACCCAGAGACGCCCCCGGGATGTGCCCCACACAGCCCATAGCAGATGCCTTCGGGCTCACCCCTTCAGAAACTCAAGGCTTCATATCAGGGCACCCCTCGGGGATTCCCCCTCAGCACTGCAAAACCGGGTAGCCCCCGGGGAGTTGCCTCATTGACGGATGGCCCATGGCACACAGGTAATGGGAGCCCTCGGGTATATTCATCACCAACTAATCAACAAACAGTGGACCCCCCCGGTAACAACTCCATTGCCGCCCTCATCCAGCAGGCCCTTGATCCCCGAATTGAGGGGCTCCCCTTCGGCGCCACCAGGACATCAACAGCAAGCCTTCGGCTAATCAACACAGGAGCCCTCAGAAGAGAGAGCCTTCGGCATTCCCGTCATTCTCCATTTTTTACCAAGGTTTGACATTTTCGATTCATCATTGGGGGAATTCGGTGCACTCTTTTTCCCTCATTAGGATTTTTTCCCAAAGGGTTTTTCCTAATGAGGTTTTTAACGAGGCATCCCCCCAAAATGAAACTAAAAAACGTCAGCATTCGGCCCACAACAGCAACGCAGCTACTCTACTCCTTTTCACCACTTTACAAAGTGCCTCAAGGAGTGGGGGACTGGAGGACCCCCTCGGGAAAATCATTAAATTACAAAATCAGTGAAATTCCAACAAACGACAAGGCAAGCCCTCAAGTCCCGACATGTGGGTAACTGAGGGACTGCCTTCGGCAGGGACATAAAAGCAACAACTCCTCACCAACTTCAGAGATCACGACGGGACAACATCAAAGGGCAAGCACAAATTACTCCTTTTCCCTCAAGTACCTTTCGGCAAAAGGAGTGAGGGACTCCTGATGGAGTATATGGCCCGGGAACCCCCGGCCCACAGACTCCTACTACTCCAGGGAAGGCCCAACAGGCCCAAAAGGCCCGACAGGCCCAAATCACAGCGCCCAGAGTACCAAGCAGCCCGCACTACGCGCCAGGGGTGCCTTCGGCCCCTGGCCGAAGGGTCTAAACCCTCACAGAATGGGTTTCTCAAGCAAACTAAGAAACTGGGAGAAAATGGCGAAAACAGTAGCCCTCGGTACTGTGAGCCCTCGGCACCAAGGTGCCCTCGGTTGGAGGAGCCTTCGGCTACTGCTCTATGGCCGAAGGCATCTCACTCGACAAGATATCCGCCTCACATGCGTACAGATCACCGTACCCTGCACAGACGTCCCATCCAACAACCGCATTAAATGCGGCCACATGCGGCTGCCAGCGCCAACCAGTTGAGGTGACCCCTCGGCCAATGAGCGCTTGACACGTGTCCCTGCCCGACATTTATTGCTACTATAAATAGCACCCCATTTCCCCATTTGTAACCACGCTGAAAACGGCATTCATACTGAATACACTCTCTCTCTACTTTTACTTACTTGCTCTGACTTCTTTCTAAGTTATTCCCCGTAATAACCCTTCGGATATATACCCCCGGGTAGACTATCCATCAATGTGTATCTACTTCGGATATATTCCCCGTAATAACCCTTCGGATATATACCTCGATAGCTGGATTTTTTCAAATCCAGCTATCGAGCTTCTTTTTAAAAAGTATTCGCGGCTATCGAGCTTCTTTTTATGTGGCTCTTTCACCAATCCCATTTAATTTCCTAATATACCATTTGTACACATAATTTCTTAATATACCATTTATGTGAAAAAGCCAATTGTACATATTCTTTGTACATATAATGATAAGTTTTACCTTGTGAGTCCAAGACTAATTTTTTTTTTGACAAAATATCCAAGACTTATACAGTACTCGGAAACTAAGAACCCAAAGCATATCTCGGGGTAGGGGTGGGCATAGTTGGTTAACCGGGTTTTGGTTAACCAACTTTCCGGTTAACCGCGAAACTTGTTACTTCGGTTAACCGATACTTCGGTTAACCAAAGCTTCGGTTAACTGAGTATCGGTTAACCAAAACTTCAGTTAACCACAAACCGGTTAACCGAAACCCATAAAACTGGTACCATAACTGAAAAAATAATTTTTTAAACATCTATGATCATAATACAAAATTCATAAGTAGATCAAATTTTGAAGAAGATAATAGAAATACAAGAATACACCGGTGTTAACAAATACATGACTGCGTAGACTAGAACTGATATACGAAACAAATTTCCAATATACAACTCTAGGTTTAAATCAAGTCTCACACTTTATCTCCAAAGCCAAAAAAAGGAGCTCAAGTCTATGCAGTAAAATAAAACGATCATGAAAACTTGATAGTGGCTTTTTGTACATAATCTCTTTGAACCGTTGAAGTAAAATTAGTGATTTCTCTTTAATATTGATTTGCAAGAAAGTATCTTGAACAGTGAATTTGTGTTGCCTCCATTTAAAACTTGATGGGATATAGGTGGAGAAAACAAATTGTCATCGGCGTTCAAAATCTTTGGGCAGTTCCACAGATATAGAACTAGGAAGAAATAAACATTAAAGATCTTAGCGATTACTGGATGAATTGACTTCGGTAAACTGATTCTAATCAATTTTAAAACGGTTAACCCACCGTGAAACATTTTTTTTATTTAATCAGTTAACCTACCGTGATTTCGTTTTAAAAGCGGTACGGTTAACCAGAAAATTAATGGTTATACGGTTTTTTTAAACGGTTACGCGGTTATGGTTTTTTGTGCCCACCCCTATCTCGGGGTGGACTTATTTCTCAAGATTTTTTAAAATATTGACTTCAATCTTTTTTTAACATATCAAAAAATTCTTGGAGTTTCAAATGCTTATCCAATAGATATTTATGTTCCTTTTGAAGGATTTCAATAACGTTTACATCTTTAGAAAGCTTATTCAAGATTGCTTTGTTTGGAGCTTTTAAATATTGAGAATTTCTTTTACAAGAGAGGCGTTATACCGCGGGAGAGGTGCAAGGTGAGCATCCTACTCCCAGAGTTATATGAAATGTAAATTGTGTGAATCAACATGTAACTACAAGTTAATCAAAATGTAAATCATACTCAATCAAATGTAACTCGTTGAAATGTAAACTGTTTTAATTGAAAAGTAACTTGGAAATTAAAAAACATTGACTTCAATGTAACTTGAGTCAAGTTGAAATGTAAGTTATCTAAAACAGAATATAAGAAGTTACATAAATAGTGTAATATCAAGGCTATAAAAATGATTTTTTTATCAAAATAATTTTTCTTTGAATAGCAGGGTCTTGTTGTGTTGTGTAACTCGCATTATATTGTGGTGTAACTCGTATTATGGAAAATGTAAATCACGTGTAAGAATGATGTAACTTGCTGAGAAAAATTGACATAACTAATGTTAATTGATATGTAACTTCAAGCATATCCTGATGTAACTGCATGTATTTTAAATGTAATTTGAGCCAAATCAAAATACAAATTTTCTAATCATTTATGTAAGGTAAATAAAGGAAAAGATGACAAGTTGCCACTTCTTCCACGAAAGAAGACAAGCCATCAAGGCGCCGGAGAAAGATAATCAATAAGCCGGCAAAATGGATTCCTTGTACTGTATAATACTACCTCCGTCCCTTAAAATTTTGCCAACTTTCCTTTTTAGATGTCCCACTAATTTTGCCAACTTTCCTTAAAATAAGTAAAGAATTTGTGGTTCTAGTTAATTCTCTCTCCTCTGCACAAAACTCAACCACACAGTTTTTACTTTATTAATCCGCCGGTCAAACTTGTCAAAGTTTTAAGGGACGAAGGGAGTATAACAGTGACCATCAATCACCGTTCACAGCAAGGCAGGTGGTGCCTTGTTAACGACATATCTTTAGGACCTTGTTATTAATAAATGAAGATTTCTAATCAGTCAACGATAGATCTGTGTTTCCTTCTCTCGTTCAGCAACTAGGATCATCGTTGCTTTCTCCTTCAGGAGATTAATGGAGTTCACGTCTTCTTCTGGATGCTATCATCCGTATTACCTTGTTAAGTACGTAATAAAACTATGTCGTTTTGGGATCGACACATCATGCGCATGGTGAGCCGATCCCACAATATAATTTGCGTTTACAAGAGTTTAATTTGTTTTCTAACAAATCTACGTATTAATTCATCTTTTTTCTTAATCATTTCAAAATTCTCTTGAAAAACCGTAATAGGAGTTTTCTTTTCCCTCAAGAATTGAGAACGATCATGGTGCATAAACATATCATCAAGTATATAGTTCAAAGTTCTGAAAAATCAAGTCCACAATCACATGTATAAGATGAATTAGAGTGTACCTCATCATCATAAGGCATGACCATCATCACTTCCGCTTTGTTAAGCTTCAGAGTTTAAGATCACTCCAAGTGTTTTGAGCAACTTTTTCCTTTTCTTGGTATATTTCGCAACCCCCATGTGATGTATTTTGAAGGAAACGTATTGTTAACAGAAATTAAAATATAAAAAATTGAAAACTGAAAAAATGAAAAATTCAAAATAAAAGAAATTGAAAATTTTAAAAAATATAAACAAAAAATAAATAATTACATATTTATGACTAGTGACTATAGTAGTAATGGAATCATAGTAGCTTGTTTCCAATTTTTGAACTTAAGTTACTATATACGGAGTATGACACTACGAGCCCGTTTGGTAGCACGAAAATCGGGTATTTTGGCTGATTCTGCTGAAATTTGTGAAGTTCTACCTGAAGTGGCTACATTGGTTGATTCTGCTGATTTAAGAAAAAATAATTTTAAAATATATTTTATTAATAAAATAAAGAAAAAATTATATGTAAAAATAGCTAAAATAGTCATCTACAGTAACTTCAGCCAATACAGCAAGAAAAATAACTTCAACCATACTTTTCTGCTTATTAAAAAATTAAGCGCGCGAAAGCAAAAATTATGTGTTTGGTGAAAAAGTTGGTTGATAAGCCTGATAAACTGAAAAACAATGTTGCCAAACAGCCTCTACATGTAGTAACTATGAGTCATTTTGTGTAAATAAGTTTTATTTTAGTAATATAAAAAAAATCGCCTCACTTGACAACCTTCTTATATGAGAAATTACCCAATATAGGAGTAAACATAAACATAATTGCATAAATAGGAGTAAAACTTAAAACTTCCTTCAATATGAGTAAACATTAATTTTGTACCCTTAATATCCCTAACCTAGTTAATTCTAAAATATAACTTATTTGATCCTGGCATATTAAAAAAATCTAAGTTCATTTATCGGAAACAATACCTTTATGCGGGCCATTTAATTTTAAAAATAATCTAAGTTCATCCCAAAAATATTAAAATATTAAAAATTAAAAAATTTATTTTTGTAAAAATAAAAATTTTTAAAAATAAATTAAAAATAGATAAACTGTATTAAAAAATATAAAAAAAATATGCAGGCCTTTCCCGCAGCCTCGGTCATCACCCAGCAATGTCACCTCCGATCGACGAAAAAAGTGCCATTTTATGTAAAAACTGTCATTTTTCTTTGTAAGTGTCATAAAGATGCCAAATTTTCTCAAAATATGCCATCTTGATGGCATTTCTGGAAAATGTTGTCATTTTTTTCGTTTTTCGGAGCTGATGGTGCTGGGAGGTTGTTGAGGCGGCGGGAGACGCCTACATATTTTTTTATTTTTTTTTTCATTTTTTATTTTTTTTTATTTTTTTTAGTTTTTTATTTTTTATTTTTTTATTTTATTAATTTTTTATTTTATTTAATACGGAGTTTATTTTATTTGATATTTTTTGTGTATTTTTTTGTTCTCTTACAATTTTATTATAAATTAATTAATCTTATGGAGTATTTCTTTTATGTTTTAATTATTAATGAAAGTTGTTGGAGCTTGGGTAATGGTATATTTGTCCAAACACTAAAGTTACTCCTATTCAAAATATGATACTTCTATTTTTACATTTTGCCTATGTTTTACTCCTATTTGAGGAATTCTCTCCGGCTATGTTCTTATATCTTTTATAATATCACCAACTCTGCAACTCATCATCCTCATTTTCATCTTGAAGAACGTCATTATGCTTTACGGTCATTGTTTTATTTATGGGCACTTCAAGAGCTTTATCGGCTCAACGCTTATCACTTGTTTGTTTTCATTATCGGTTAAAAACAAGGCAATAAATACAAGAATTAAACATCTGTACGTTACATGCATGGAAGAGCAAATACACCAGAAGGGAGCAAAAGTCGAAACTAATAGAGTAATAGAAATGCTTTTCATTTTAATGGTAGCAATAATGCAAAAGTAATAAACAAGTAAACAACTATGTTCACGTGGTTCTAAAAAAACTACGTTCACGTGAATTTCTAACACTAAAAATTAAAGAATAACACTAGTAGAGTGTTTTTCATTTTAAAAATGGTAACAATAATGAGAAAATAAAAAAGAACTATGTTCACATTAGTTTCTTGAAACAATGACACTGATACTACTCCCTAAGTTTCTAATTCCAAAATGTCTTCTCCCTCGCGTGAAAAGTCTCCCTCCCAGATCTATGCATCCACAGCTCCGGCCTCCGCGTCCAGCTCATGCGCAATTCATCAATCTACCTCATCTCCATCGCTTTGGTTCTTCCTCTCAAGTCATCGATCGAGCTCCTGCCTCCGGATCCAGCTCCTGCGCGATTCATCGATTGAGCTCATCTCCATCTCTTTCTTTCTTCCTCTAGCAAGTCTACCTGTCAAGCAATCGCTAGAGAGGACGCAATCGCTATAGTAGGGACGACGCTTTCACTGCTCTTCATCAGCTTCGCCAGATTGATTTAGATATGATTGTTCTTCATCTTCTTATCTAGCCATTCTTTTCGTTTTTGTACAGTGATTTGGCTTGGGGTTGGTTCGGCGGCTGGAAAGTCGAGGAGGGGCTGTGGGTGGTGCAACGGCGGTGGGGAACTGACGGTGGTGCAAGGCTAGGGAGTGGGGACAGTGACAGTGGTGTGATGGTGGGGCTGTGGCGGTGGTGCAAGGGCTTAGGAGTTGTGGTGCAGGGGTCTGGGACTGGTGGTGCTGGGGAGGAAGCAGTGGTAACTGACCAGAGGGGCTTGTATGTCACTGCGGACGATTGTTGTGCGGAGGGGCTGATGTGGTCACGGTTTGGGCGACGACGGTCAACGGTGACAGTTGATGGGGGTGTGGGGGCTGAGGGCGGATGCGGAGGGTGGTTGGGGAGGCGGCAGTGGCAATGGCGATGGCACCGAGGTGGTGGTCAGTTTTGATTGAAATTACATTTCCGGTGGGTAATAGTGACATCAACGACGGCCCATATGTTACTTTGGCGGTGTCATTGTGATCGGCGTCACTGTGACAGTGTTGGCCGGAGTACCGTGTAACCGTAGTAGTTACACTTGAGATTAGTCACATTTTTGGAAATTAGGAAAAAGTGTCACTTTTTTGTAAAGTGTCCAATTATTTGTAATATTCAAGACATAAACCCTAGTATCTTACACTAAAAAGAATACATACGGGGTTTTTCCGTGAGTGCGACTGTGCGAGCTATTTTGTTCCAAAAATTACTACACATGAGTTTAAATTCCATTAAACAATTATACAATCATATTTCATAAAATCCTACACGTGTGTGCAAAATAGTACTCCTAATATTTTAATAAGCTATTGTTGTAATTTCATTTTTAATATCTTAAAATTTTGAAGGAAATAGGCCTAGGGATGCACTTGGGCCGGTTGACCCGGACTGGAGCCGGCCCGGCCCGCTACTGTTATTAACCGGCCCGATCCATCGGCCCGACCCACCGGCCCGAGTCCGGGCTGGGTCTTATATACCTGAACCGCCAGTTTTCGAGGCGGGCTTCGGGTCGCCAGAAAAGGAACAGGCCCGGTCCGGGCCATTTTCTTTTTTCAAAAACTTTGAGAGGTAAATGAGTTGAGTTGGGTGTTTTGGCAGGTTTGGGGTGTGGGGGTGGGAAGTAATTAAAAAATCAAAAAAATAAATAAATAAGGTAACCAACCTGACCCGATCCGATCCGGTAGGTACCTGGACCGATTTTGGGCCTCAAGAAACCAAAAAAAGCCCGATCAGACCCAGCCCGGACCGGCCCGAGTCCAACCCTAACTAGACCGGGTAGAACTAGAGCAAGAACCATCACGAAACCATGTAGTGTTAGGGGACCAAGGTGCAGTAGACAGTAGTTGCCATGAACCTAGGCATGGGCCGGGACCGGGACCAAGTAAAACTTGGACAGGCTCCGAGTCCAAAATATTCAGCCCCGGTACCGGCCCGGGTTAGACTCCAAATAATTTTTTTTGGGTCTTTCAAATTAATTCCAATCCCCAAACCTCCCCAAACCACCCAGCCCCGCCCACCTATCAACCATCCCAATATCAAAAAATAAAAAAAAAATGAATAAATGGGCCCGAACCCGGCCTGGCCTGACCGGGGCCGTCCACTAAAATCAGAGCTCGTAGCCCGATTGTTTTACCCCCCGGGTCGATCCCCAGTCCTGATCTCGATCCCGATTTACCGGGCCAGGTCAAGCCAGCACAGTGCCAAGCTGGGTCCCAGGTAGGACGGACCCATCCCAGTCCATCCTTACATGAACCTAGGCATGGATCAGGGTCAGCCCGATCGCGAGGCGAGTCTGCCTGCCCAATGCCTACCAGTAATATTTGAATCCCAGCCCCGGCCTGTATAAATTCAATTCTAGGTCAATTCCGATTACCCGATCGGCCAGGTCTCGATCCCACTAGTTTTTATTTTAATTTTGCCCAATCTCAAGGCTGAAAATAAAAATAACCAATCAGAACTGCAAGCAAGACTATCCGATTCAATCGCCAAATCATTGAAACAAGACCAGGTACCCTATACACTCGATTGGGTACCCGATTTTCATCAAGAACCGGAAAAACGAACCTGGTCCGATCCTACACAATGGTGGACTCGATTCCGACCAATCTTAAGACCGAAAATAGTCCATAAGTGAAGACCACTCCTACCAAAACCTTGTCTTCCGTCTACTCCTACTTGCCATTAACAGAGGTTGAGATAGCCTAATTCATATTTTCATAGTCTACCGATATTGCAAAAGTTTATGGAGCGCATGCACTTGGGATGTTTTTACCTTGACTCTAATTTGTTGATCGCCTGATCTGATCTGGTCCGATCCGTTTAAGTTTGATCTGATCTGATCTATTTAAGTCTGATTTGGTCTAAAATGGTCTAGTCTGGCCTGATAAACGTCTTGTCTCTGTGTATTTTACAAATTACAACTACGAAAGTGAAGTCAAGTCTGATCCGGTATGTTTAAATCTTGTTTAAGACCGAAAACAATACAAGTAAAAACATGGCTGAAAACAATCCAAGATTTAAATGTTTTTTTGTTGACCATCATTAAGTTCATCTTTTTCCCCGCTCAAGTTATTTATTTTCATCTACTTTGTCTTCTTACCCCACTAAAAAGAGCACATAGTAATTTTTAATCTGAAAAAATTCCCTAATAGGATAAAAAGACAAAGTTCATAGATAAGACTACTATTATTTTATTCTCAAAATATGAACATTCACTCCATTTTGGGAAGCAACAATTGGTCTCATTTAACATATTCTTTCTAATAGAACTAAAGTCAAATTCGGGTAATAAAACATACTTAGTCCTATGGGTGGACCCGGTCCGGCGGTCCATCCAGGTACGGTACTGTTTGGGACCGGACCGGATTTGTTTACTACAGAAACGGTTCTCATAAAACACCTTGTCAAAAGCAGCAGGTGCCCTGAGTAATGTGAAGTAGTAGCTAGATAAAACAACAAGTAACAAGGGTGAAAACATTGCGGAAAATCAACATAGTAGGGAAAACAAAAAAAAAGTTACTTGCAAGTTGCAACTGAAGTAAGGTAAAAAAATAAACAAATGGAGGTGGCATAAACTGGGAACTGTTCTTTCACTCACGGCTGGCTGTCTTTCAGAATCTTATTGCAGTATTCTCCCAATGCCCACATTGGGAATATGTTCTTATAGGCAGAATATGATATCATGCAGTTCTTGTTGAAGACTCCTACTATTTCCTGAGAAATTCAAGAAAAAGAAATTATGGATGGTAAAATCTTATGTCATGCAAGTCAACAACCTTTGTTTCCATATACTACTATACCAACTACTCAAGTGGGAAAAAAACTATGACCATGCAGGTTTGGAAATCTCATCCTTTTTAATTAGGATGGTACGCATATTTCCAGCACCCTATTATGCATAAGACTATTCTATATCCATGCCCAAATCATGTAAACTTCAAGGGTTATGACTTATGAGGTTATCAACACAAGGAATGAGATTACGAGGTTATCAAGAGAAACCATTACTACCTGTTGAGGAAAATCTCCATTTTCCAACTGAGAATTTATTAATACTTTAGCAGCACGATGTAACCGAGTCAAATCCCTCTCAGCCTGCGAATTTCAAGCATAAAAATTTACATCTTAGGAGATCACATAACTCACATAAATAACTTCACACATCATGGAATGGTCCTACAGAAATACCCTTAATCAAGTAATCAGGACATTTCAAATTTAAGAAAAGATATATTAAAAATCGACAGTATGAAAACCTGAATATATAATGTAATTTGAAATAGACATCTCAAATTAGGAAATCATTTTAACAGTAAACAAGATGCTCACCTGTCCAGCAGCAATTAGGGCCAGCATAGCCCACGCTGTATGTACTACATGAGATCTGTTGCCTTGGATATTTGTATAAACCTAAGAGATTATTACAAAGAGTGAGAGAGATTTCTGCATTAGACAAATTAAAATTTAGCATGAAGCCATGAACAGATACAAACTGAAAAGAATTTCTTCATCATCAGGATATACATAAAATTACTTTGTAAGCTTTCAGCGATGATTTCGGGATAAAAATAGTGGCAAACAAGGTCTGATCAGAGAAGCATAGAATTTATTAGGAAAACGATTGATTTTTAGCTATAGCTATTACATGGATGATAGAACAGCTTACACATTTTCACAGTTTAGGCTTTTCAACCTAATATTGTGAGAAGTCAAAGTTAATGATCAAAAAGTAGCAAAGCAATGCATATTGTCAATAATACACATTCTACAGTACAGAAGAATCTAGTGTGGTATGGGCATCATTGACACTGTAAAGGCTAAATTTGATAATTTGAAACAAGACGAGTTGCTTTGATATAAGAATGAATATACTGAAGAACAGATCATAACACTAACCCCTGTACTACTAGATAGATAACTCTCCCCCCAGCCACCAGAAGGAAGTTGTTTTGACATCAGAAAATCACAAGCCTTGCGAATGCTGGAAGAATTGCTAAAGTTCCTTCCAGCAGCCACGAGTCCCAATACCCCAAACCATGTGCCATAAGTGAAGCAAACACCCCAAGAGCCATACCTGATCATTTGTATAATACAAATTTCATCTTAGTACAAGCAAACAGGTAAATTAAAAAAAGAGACCATAACTGTTTAAATCAGGATCCAAGAATATTTGCATTAATTATATAGTAATTCTCCGAAATAACAATAATGCAATTTCATCGTATTATTACATCACTCTGTAATGTGATGACATTGGTAATTTCTACTCAATGTGTATGTGTTATGGGATCAAAGTAAATAAACTGAGTTCCCATATGTGCATTATGCAACAAGTTTTTTCTACTGAATATGTTTGCACTACTAAATTAATTTTCCATAGCATTATGCATTATACCTCTCAAGTAATTCATTTTCAAAACCAACATTGTCAGAGCATCTAGGCACGGCGCGGCACTAACGAAACACCTTGTCGCCTAGGAGACTAGGCAAATACCTAGGCGACAAATAGCAGTGTGCAATATTTTAATTTAATATATTATCTAAATGCAACAGGAGTACTAAATATAGTACCTACTTACTAATTTATCACATTAACACAGCAAGAGTCTATATCAATTTCTAATACATTAAACTACAACACTTTAGCAAAAACTCAAAAAGCAGTGATGTGATTTATATTATTGATATCTAAAGTACAAAGGTAATTAAATAAATGAAAATGAAGAAAAGGGAAGATGATAGAATGAAGGAAAGCAAGAAAGAAAATGCAAACATGACGGATTGGGCTGCCCGATCAAAAATAGATTTGGAAAAATATCTATCTTGGGCGCCCTCTACAAATGCCTAGTTGATGTCTGAGCGAGGCCATTCAATGTTTGGCGCTATTCAAGCGGCGCAAGAAGCCACGGCGAGTGCTCTCGACCACCTGGACGCCTAAGCGTCACCTTGGCGATGCCATGACAACTATGCTCAAAACTGAACTCACAATAAAGAATCTTCGATTAAGAATTAAGAAGTAAGAATCTTAATTTTATTTGCTAATCTTGAATTTATTCATTTATTTTTTATTGAGAAATGAGAATCTTAATTTTATATCCTTACATAGGTTAAAGAATAATTTAATTACTTATATACTACGTATAATAAATAATGACATTGCGTGGTTATGTGGCAAACTCTATGCTCCTGAAAAGTTTCTCCTATATATACACATATGTATATATATATATATATATATATATATATTGCTTAGATTTTTTCAGAAATAGGTCCCTTTCTCTTCTAAAAACAGAGAGTAGTAAGATTTAAGAAGAGTAAGTCTGTAGACTGAAAAAATCATGTCTTGAACACTAGTGGAAACAGGTGACAACCAAAGGCAAAAACCAACCATGAGCCATCTGGTTTTTGAATCTTCTCAATGAACTTTGCAGATTTTTCAATTGAATGTTCCAATTCTTCTCTTCTATGTCCAGGGTACAATTTCTTAAATGCTGTCAACGCTTGAATCGAAGCTGAAGTACACTCAACATAACTGCATAGAGAAAAGTTCATTCAAGATCAGACACATGATCTCAAACTGATGGAACAAATAAATGGGACATAGCTGGATAAAAAAGATAGATGCGCTAGACTTACGGGTAATCAATGACAATATCACCAAAAGTCTCAGCAGGGTTGATTAACTGCACAAAAAAGTACCTTAAAATCAGCGCAGGGGTATATAATATAACACAAGGGCAGTAGATAGTAGATATCTGAGTATATTTTTCAAATTACAATTAATAATTGAGAACAAAGATGCTAGAACTAATACCGGGGATTCCCCCCCCCCCCCCCCCCCCATCATCATGGGTAACTAAAAAAAGCATAAGGGAAGAATGCGAAAGAGATTTAATTGAACTGTATTTTGTAGATATGCTACCACTCTTCAAGTTTAAGGAAGCACTTCTGTCACAGTCTAAAGTATTCTTCCAACCTTTTATTTTAATTGGCCTATTGGTTGCGCACCCAGTTTAAGGAAAGATCATCAAACGCATTCGCATTGGCACATTTGACATATAGACCCAGAAATACAATACAGTTCCTTCTGCATTTATTGCATATTACTTTATCAGATCTGTCCTTAAGTTAAGTGGTGGCCAGTTATTAAAAACGTCACCCAAAAATGGAGGATACTTGATATTAGAAGTGGAGGGAGACTAGTACAGCTCTAGTCAAAATCTATATACTTTTTAGGAGTAATATATATTTTTAGAGAGAAGAGTCAAATAAGGCATTCTACTGTTACGGAATTGTCACATACATGACATGTACTCAATAAAGTGCAATATAAATACATCTACTTATAAAAAGCAATAGATGAGTCCTAACGACCCGTTGACAACCTCCTAATTCCGATTTTAGCTTACGTGACGTTATTTTTACCTTGTATTTAAGCAAATCTTGGCTAAATATTCCACGTCAGCCTTATAATCTATTTTAAAGAGTGATGAAGTATTAACTCCTAGATTCTAGAGAGAAGGGAGAGCTAGAGAGAGAAGTGAATTGTATTAATGAATTTTGTAACCCTTACAACTACTCCCAAGGGGAGTATTTATAGAGAAAATTAGGGCTGGGCTCCGAAGTCTTGGGCTTGGGAAGGCCCATTTACAACAGGGCCACTAATGGGCCGGATACAAAGTGTATAGAAATGATAAGTATAAAATCCTGTTCTAGAGGCTATCTATGGATGACGAGGGCATGGCCGATGAGGGCATGGCCGATGAGGGCATGGCCGACGAGGTCACCCGGTTCTCTTGGCTTCTGGATCATATTCTGGGTGGCCTTCTTTCTGGCCGATGAGGGCATGGCTAATGAGAGCATGACCGATGAGGGCACCCGGTTCTCCGGGCTTCTGGATCATATTCTGAGTAGACCTTTTCCTGGCCGATGAGGGCATGGCCGATGAGGGCATGGCCGATGAGGGCACCCGGTTCTCCGGGCTTCTGGATCATATTCTGAGTAGACCTTTTCCTGACCGATGAGGGCATGGCTGATGAGAGCATGGCCGACGAGGTCACCCGGTGATCGTGGTACCTTCTGTTCTTCTGAGTATGTGGGTCCTGGGGCCTAGACCCATATACTCCATCAGGAGTCCCCCACTCTCTAAGCTGAGACGTTGACGAAGTGAAGGAGAGTAGATTTATGTCCTTTTTTGTTTGGGCGTTGTGTGCTCCTCGATGTGGACGAAGAGGGCCCTAGTCATGTGGATGATGCGTGTTTTCTGTTTAAGGACGACGAGAGCCTTTGCTTGGTGGAGACGATGAGCGTCCTCTGTCATGAGTGGCCGATGAAGACAGTGCTTCCTTAATCCTGGCCGTTGATGGTTGAATTTCGTACTTTGGGCCGAGGAGGCCATTGTGGTTATCTCTTGTTTGAGGACGATGGGTGTCCTTTGTTTCGAGGAAGATGAATGTCCTTCATTTTGAGGACGATGAATGTCCTTTATTTTGAGGACGATGAATGTCCTTCGTTTTGAGGATGATGAATGTCCTTCGTCTTGAGGACGATGAGTGTCCTTCATCTTGAGGACGATGGATGTCCTTCATTTTGAGGACGATGAATGTCCTTCATTTTGAGGACGATGAATGTCCTTCACTTTGAGGACGATGAGGGTCCTAGACCAGAGGACGTTGTGCGCCCTTGGCTCTGTGGATGAAGAATGTCATGCCCTTGTGCTTTTGACTTTAATTGATGGACCTTACGCTTGCGGACGTTCGTGGCGCGTTCGTTTTGTTCGTGATATGGACGATGAATGTCATAGTCCCGGAGACGATGCGTGCCATTGGCCTTGAGGACGAGGAGTGTCCTTGGCTTTGAGGACGAAACGTGCCCTTGATCTTTAGAACGATGTGTGTCCTTGACATTGAGGACGGTGTGCGTCCTGCTTTGCGCTTCGGCCTGGCCGAAGGGTGAACACATGGTTGTTGGACGTTGAGGTGCCATTGTTATGGGCTTGTGTTCGTTGGATTTTGAATTTGTTTCTTTACGCTGGAGGCCGATGTAGTCCCCCAGACCTTCTTCTGGCCGATGAAGACATGGCCGACGGAGGTACCACTTGGTAGTCCTTGCTTTTTGTTGCTTTCTGGATGATTTCATGTATGTGGAGGCCGATGTAGTCCCCCAGTCCCCCACTCCTCGAGGCTCATGTAGTGAGGTGAAGAGGAGTAGAGCAATACACGTCTTCAATATGGGGCCGAGGGTCGACACCTTTTGATCCACAATGGGGCGGTGCCTCGTTAAAAACCTCATTAGGAAAAACCCTGTGGGAAAAAATCCTAATGAGGGAAAAAGAGCACATCGGATCCCTCAAAATGAACTCCAAGGGGTGAACCTTTCGGCCTAGATGTGGAGCTGAAGCGGTGTCCGTCTGATGAGGGGACGCCCGCCTGGTGGTGAGGACGACGGCGCTGATGAGCCGGTCCGAATATGAGGACGAGGCGATGGATGCCTGTCTGAATGTGAGGACGACAATGGTAATGATCTGTGCGTCATATGAAGGCGACGGTCGCTGTCCAGAAAGGGAATTGCGAGCCCGGTCGCTATAACAGTACCTCGGCGTTGGGAGCTGGTCTCGAGATATGAGGACGACGACACTGGGGGGCCGGTCCGAAATCCATGCAACGGTCGCCATCCGGTAAAGGAATGGCTAAGACCGGTCTTAAGATAGAGCATCACACCATAGCCGAGGGGCTGGTCGTGATGTGAAGACGACGGCGATGAGGAGCCAGTCCTACAATCCATGCAACGGTCGCCATCCGGTGAAGGAATGGCTAAGACCGGTCTTGAGATAAATGATCACGCCTTGGCCGAGGGGCCGGTCGTGATGTGAGTACGACGGCACTGATGAAGCTGCTCGTCGTATGAAGGCGAGGGTCGCCATCCAGGAAGGGAATGGCGAGCCCGCTCGCTGGCTCAAGACGCTCGGCGCTGAGGAGGCCGGTCTTGAGATGAAGGATCACGTTGAGACCGAGGGGTCTGCCGTGATCTGAGGACGACGGCGCTGATGAAGTCGGTCCAGATAAATGATGACGAAGGCGTTGATGGAGCCATTCGTCATGCAAGCTCGAGGCTCTCGGTATTGAGGAAGCCGGCCTTGAGATGAAGGATCACGTTGAGACCGAGGGGTCGGCCGTGATCAGAGGACGACGGCGCTGATGAAGCCACTCCTCATATGAAGGCGAGGGTCGCCATCCAGGAAGGGAATGGCGAGCCCGCTTGCTAGTTCAAGACTCTCGGCGCTGAGGAGGCCGGCCTTGAGATAGATAAATCACGCCTTGGCTGAGGGGCCGGTCGCAATGATGAAGCCGATCGTCATATAGTGGCGATGGTCACCATCCAGGAAAGGATGGTGAGCCCGATCACTGGCTCAAGACTCTTGGCGCTGAGGAAGCCGGTCTTGAGATAGATAGTCACGCCTTGGCCGAGGGGCCGGTCGTGACGTGAGGATGGACGACACTGAGGGGCCAGTCCGAAAATCCGTGCAACGGTCGCCATCCGATAAAGGAATGGCTAAGACCGGTCTTGAGATAGATGATCATGCCAAGGCCGAGGGACCAGGCGTGACTTGAGGATGACGGCTATGATGAAGCCGATCCAAGTAAATGATGACGAGGCGTTGGTGAAGCCGTGCGTCATGTAGTGGCGATGGTCACCATCCAGGAAGGGATGGTGAGCCCGATCGCTGGCTCAAGACTCTCGGCACTGAGGAAGCCGGTTTTGAGATAGATGATCACACCCTGGCCGAGGGACCGGACATGATTTGAGGACGACGGTGCTGATGAGGCCGGTCCAAATAAATGATGACGAAGGCATTTGATGAAGTCGTTCGTCATGTAAACTCAAGGCTCTCGGTGTTGTGGCTGCCGGCCTTGAGATAGATAATCACCTTGAGGCCGAGGGGCCGTTCATTTTGAGGACGAGGGTCGCCATCCAGGAAGGGAATGGCGAGCCCGCTCGCTGGCCCAAGACGTTCGGCGCTGAGGAGGCCGGTCTTGAGATGAAGGATCATGTTGAGACCGGGGGGTCTGACGTGATCTGAGGACAACGACGCTGATGAAGCCGCTCCTCCTATGAAGGCGAGGGTCGCCATCTAGGAACGGAATGGCGAGCCCGCTCGCTAGCTCAAGACGCTCGGCGCCGAGGAGGCCGGTCTTGAGATGAAGGATCACGTTGAGACCGGGGGGTCTGCCGTGATCTGAGGACGATGGTGTTGATGAAGCCGCTCCTCGTATGGAGGCGAGGGTCGCCATCCAGGAAGGGAATGGCGAGCCCGCTCGCTAGCTCAAGACGCTCGGCGCTGAGGAGGCCGGTCTTGAGATGAAGGATCACGTTGAGACCGGGGGGTCTGCTGTGATCTGAGGACGATGGCGTTGATGAAGCCAGCCGTCTGAAGATGAAGGGGGCGGAGCCGGTCCTATAATGAGGACGGCGAAGTCGTACCTATAATGAAGGACGACGTTGAGCGCTCGTCTGATCCGCATATATGATCTTGCTTCGTCCATAATGCATAGTATTTGCCTGATATGTACTTAGCCAAATATGTGGCTTGATTTGTGGGGATTTCATTTTTATTGCTCGAGGCCGGCGAGTGCTCGGTCCTCGGCTTCCCTCTTTTGATTTGTGGGGATTTCGCTCGAGGCCGGCGAGTGCACGGTCCTCGGCTGTCCCTCTTTTATTTCTTCCTCTACTGCTATGAGCGAGGAGTGGGGGTCCTTCTTTCAGGCTCGACCGAGGGGGTTGCTATTCCCTCGGCCGATAGGGAGTCCAGGAGGGCAACTGTCCGGCCTCTGGCGCTGGCGTGTCCCTAGACCTTAGGGGTCCCGTCGTCTATTTATGGCGCGGGCTAGGCTTTTGGTCGGTTACCGACGGCTGCCGTTTCCCAACCCCAAGTGTGGGGATTTTGTCACCTCGGCCATTCTTTCAGGCCTGTCGTAATGCGATTTAGCGCGAAGATGACGCGGTGAGCTTCCCATTTCAAGACGTGGGCCGTTTGCGGGCCCCTCATCCTGGGACATCGTCGGCCATTCCTGAGCGTTTCGCTCGAAGGGGCCAGGACGATGTGCTGTTATGTGTGGCGTCGTCGGCCATACCTGAGCGTTTCGCTCAAAGGGGCCGAAGCGACGTGCTTTGTTGTGTGGCATCCTTTACTTAAACTTTACAAGAAATAAGCAGAACACAATAGGTGTGTTGTTTATGGCAACGGCTTTTATTAGGGTCAGGGGCTCGAGGCCGAGGGGGGTAACCTTCTGAACAACTCGTACAAGAGTTAGCTTCCCAATGAGTTTCTGACCTTGGGTGGGGGCTTTTCCGTCGGCACCTTCTTCGGATTGCTGGTAGAACTTCACCGAGATGTAGGGCCCTTCGTATTTTGAGGGATAAGCCGTCTGTCGGCTTGCTGGTAGAACTTCACCATGGAAGCCCAGTCGTCGACCGTGCGTCCCTTCGAGGAAGGACGCAGTCAGCGGATGTGACGCTTCTTCAGTTGGGGCTCCTCGAAGTCCTCGTCATCGCTGAGCTTCCCAATTTCATGCTTCTTCGTTGAGGTGTCCCCTTCCTGATTGCCGGTGGAGTTCCTTGGGGTAACTTTGACAAATTGGTGGAGTTCACCCCGTTGAATCAAGCGCTCAATGGCTTTCTTCAGCGCGACGCAGTCGTCTGTATTGTGGGGGGTGTTCTTGTGGTAACGACAATAAGTGCCACCCTGGTGGACGGCGTAGACTTCCGTGGCCGACCGGGGATCTTTAGGGATGAGACCTTGCTCCTCCGCATAGTCGAAGATGGTATCCACCGAGTGCGTGAGCGTAGTCCTTGGGACGTCCGTCCTCGGCTGCCATGGGCGCTCCTTCCGGTTTCGGCAGGCATGGCCCCCGGCCGAGGGTGCGTTTGGAGCCGACGCCTCGTCTGACCTCTTTGATGGTTGGCCTACATCCTTCTTGCGGGAGTGGAGCTCATCGACGTCAGCGTACAAGCTCCCTCGTTGGAGTGCCTTGGTGTATGACCTTGGCGGGTCAGTGATGAGGCTCCTCGCATAGGGGCTGCTGCGGAGAACACCTTGGAAGAGGACAAGGAGGGTGCGCTCATCGGCACCTTCGACCTCGTCTGTCTCCTTCGTCCATCGGTCGATGAAAGACCGAAGTGATTCATCGTGTTGCTGCTTGATGGAGAGGAGGTGGGAGAAATGTTTTTTCACGCGCTTCCTTCCGGCGAAGTGGGTGAGGAAGCGTTGGGCAAGATCCTGCCACGAATCTATGCTTCCTTCGGGGAGCGCGTTGAACCACTCGTACGCTGGCCCTTCAAGAGTGGAAAGGAACCAACGGCAGAGGTATTCATCTGATGCGTTCACCATCAGCATGTTGTTTTGATAACGGCTGAAGTGCTCCTGAGGGTCAGAGCGGCCGTCATAGGGCTTGATGGCGTTCCCTCGGTACTTCTCGGGTATTGGGGCCGAGAGCACCCTCGTGGTGAAGGGAGTTTTTGTTCTGATTTGGATGATGGGGTCACCACGTCTGTCGGCCAGCTCCCTCTCCAGGGCGCTGACCTTAAGCATGAGTGCGTGGTAACCTAGACCCTCGGATGAGTTGGCCGTAGGGATGGTGGCCGATTGTCTAGCCTCCATCTGGGCCAGTCTCCTTTCCAGCTGGGCGATGACCTGAGACCTCGTCCCGAGGGTCCTTGGCGGCCGTAGTGGCGCGTTGCTGGTTCCGCATGCGAGCTTCTTGAGTCGTGTTGATTCGATGGCGCGCATTGTCCTCGTGCAATTTTCCTTTGCCTTTGTCCATGCGGGGCCGATCCGCTGTCCGGGATACGGACCCCAAGCTTTCCCTTGGTGAGCCAGGCTCACGTTCACCAATCCGTCCCGCCATCCTCTCCGAAGCAGGCCGACGACGCGTGTCACCTAGCCTATTAAAGACTGAGGCTTCTCCACGCGCTGGGGCTGGTCCAGCTCAAAGTGGGGAAGCAGGGTGGGAGTGGGATGACGACGTGTCCTGGGGCACCACCCCTTCGTCGTTGCCTAGCTTGATGGCCAACGGCTGGGGCTGAGGAGGTGGTGTAGTGTTCTCCCCAGTCCTTGGCATGAGTGCGCTGAGGACGGTGGGGTTCTGGGCCAGGCCGACGATGATGGCCGAGAGAGCGGCTTGGAGCTGAGGGTCAACGGCAGGAGAAGTCGGTTGCCCAGAGACGTTGTCACCCTTTTCTGCGCGCTTCTTGTCCAAGCTGATGCGGGCGTCTGGGGCGACGCCGTTAAGCTTGTTGCGCAGGTCAGTGGTGAGGCCGATGGCTTCATGAAAGACATCCCCGACGGGAGCCTTGTCGGTCGTAGCGTCCTCCTCGTGTTCTCGGTTCTCTTGGGCCTCAGGGATGGCCTTGCTGAGGAGGTTGCGGTTTGACTTAGTTCTTCCCATTGTCAGTTAGCTGTGCTTGGTAGCGACGGAGGAGGCTAACTTGATTGTTATAGCTCTCAACGAGAGCACCAAATGATGGAGTATTAACTCCTAGATTCTAGAGAGAAGGGAGAGCTAGAGAGAGAAGTGAATTGTATTAATGAATTTTGTAACCCTTACAACTACTCCCAAGGGGAGTATTTATAGAGAAAATTAGGGTTGGGCTCCCAAGTCTTGAGCTTGGGAGGCCCATTTACAATAGGGCCACTAATGGGCCGGATACAAAGTGTATAGAAATGATAAGTATAAAATCCTGTTCTAGAGGCTATCTATGGATGACGAGGGCATGGCCGACGAGGTCACCCGGTTCTCTGGGCTTCTGGATCATATTCTGGGTGGCCTTCTTTCTGGCCGATGAGGGCATGGCCGATGAGGGCACCCGGTTCTCCGGGCTTCTGGATCATATTCTGAGTAGACCTTTTCCTGGCCGATGAGGGCACCTGGTTCTCCGGGCTTCTGGATCATATTCTGAGTAGACCTTTTCCTGGCCGATGAGGGCATGGCCGATGAGAGCATGGCCGATGAGAGCATGGCCGACGAGGTCACCCGGTGATCGTGGTACCTTCTGTTCTTCTGAGTATGTGGGTCCTGAGGCCTAAACCCATATACTCCATCAAAGAGATAGCCAGACGTACGCTAAACCAGGATTACGAGGTTGTCAAAAGGTTATTAGTACTTATCTGATTGCTTTTTATAAGTAGACGTGTTTATATGACACTTTATTGAGTACATGACCTTATGTGACGATTTCATAATAGTAGAAGACCTTATTTGACCCTTTTCTCATATTTTTATGAGGAAAAGGGAATATAAATTGCAAATGGCCTTTAATTTCAGGTTAGAATTTCTACAAACTAGCCTCCAATGAAAAAGTTAAGAGCACCACTGAATCAGCGCCTGTATAAGCAGAATTTATTGTCTGCAAAGATATTTTTGAACAGAGCTGAATCATATTGTGCTAATGCAGAGTTGAACATGGAAACATTGTGCCACAGGATGTTACCTCCAACCATGGATACGATCTTGTCAGTTCATAGGTCGCATAGCCACCATCTAAATTCTGCAGAAAGTAAGCACAAAGGTAGTTCCTTTTCAATGCTTAAGAACATTGAAATATTCACAACATAAGAAAGAGCAAGTATGCAACAGAACTATGTAGATATAACGAACTAAAGAGTTAGAGTGTCTGGATCGACAGTCCAAAACTGCCAAACCTACTCATCTTACCACAGGTTGGTGAAAAGGAAAGCTCATAAACTTGGAGGGCTAGTGACCTCTAGATCACAATTAAGAACTATCACTATGATGCAAAACAGGCATATATATAGTTCATAAAAGGGAGAAAGCTCATGCAGAGGTTTGTTAAAAAGAGGCTTAGACTTGTGTTGGAAGTTATAACAAGAAAACATTTTCTGAAAACGGTATTATGTGAATTTATTAGCCTATCTAGGAAGACAAAAACCAAATGAGTTCTCTCACACCCTGGTAGGCTGCCTAAAGACACAGGGATATACCAAAAACCACATAAACTTGATCAAAACTTAAATGCTTATCAGGATGTCCAAGAATACCGGTATTCAGTGTAGCTCTTAACTGAACACACTTATTATTGAATTTATGTGATATCCATAACAAAATAACAATGTGATAGTGGCATTACCTGTAATGAGAGTATAACGTTTACAGCATCAAACAAACACTTGGTGTCTAATGGCTCCCCAACAACTTCTAGAGGTAACTTAGATAACGCCAAAGATGCCTATTTTCAGAAGGAAGAAACATTCACCCACCAATAAATATAAATTTAAGTAAATAATAGTAACAATGTCATTAAAATCGCAATTTCATATTGAGCCAGAGTGCCAGCTCTGTGGAAGGAAAACCAAAGACAAGCAAACTGACAGGACTTGAAGAAAAAGAATACTACATATTTACAAATTGAAAAAAAATAATAATTACTTTCAATCCCTCTGCAGTACAATCTGATATGGGCCATCCATGGTCTGCAGTTGAGAAAGGCCAAGCACCTTTTGAGATATGACGATACCAGCTATCTAGATTTCCTGGGCAGTCATCTAATACCTTTGAATCAAATGGAATATTAAGAAGAACCATAAGACTAAGGTATATTAGGGTCAGGTTATGGCATGACAACAAAAAAGAAGATTTTAGGAGAAAAAATTCCACCTGGGAGTTCTTTATGTATTCATGCGCTTTTCTCAAAGTTTTACCATATTCATTAACAAGGTCAGTAGATATGATTGCTTGAACAGCAAATGCAGCGTCCCACAATTGGCTGCCATTATATCCCTGTAATATGCTCTCAACTGTTAGCTATATCCCTACATAGGAGGAACAAGTATAAACAACTTCATGAAAGAGTAAAAACTAAAAAAAATCATGACAATGGATGTGATGTTAAGTGCAATAAATATAATCTCTTGAGAACAGCAGAAGATCATTTGTGCTATTCCTCCACCTGCATTTTCATGCCATCTTCTGCCACCCAAATGTAATCAGAAAGTCTTGGGAGATGCAGTTTGAAAGCTTCTGACTCAGGATCTTCAACCCAACAGCAAAGCATATTTAACACCTGCACATGAAGAAAACAAAGTTCCATTACAAGAAAAGTTCCCACCACCACACTTCATTTCCTATCATCAATTACAATAATAATGAAGATTGGGAATTTTATGAATTCAACCTTAAGTAATAATAGCATACTCAGCAACACATTGCAATAGCATAATTAGCTACACATCGTTTGGCAATTACAAGTTTAAATGTCACAGTAGATACTTTGTTCTATAAGTAAAAAGGATTTAACATGTCAGTTTTTTCACACTGAATTCTATCGCTAATAGTTTCCTTAAATGGAAATTCTTAGAAAGGTTTGACTGGCTCTCTGAGCCAAAAGAGTATGAAAGTTCAACCTCTTACAGAGAAAACTCATTTCTATAAACATACTTGGAACATACCTAATTTCAACTTCAGAAGATTCTATATATTCACGTTTATGAATTGTCAATGTACAAAACTACAAATACATGCTTTATTAATTTAAAATTTCAAGCAGTGTAGGAGTCCTGAGGAAATTGCCCCTATTATGTGTCCTCTAATCTACTACTAAGAATATCTTAATCACGACAAGAATCAAACTACGAGCACCTAAGTGCATTGCATGTGAAGATAACATCATAAAACACATTCAACTAATGTCCCGCACACTTGTAGAAGCCAAACCTTGTTTACAGGGCCAATGCATATGTATCTAGTGTTTTCATCTTCATAATGTATGTGTTCCATAACAGTGCGAAGAGCTTTATCTCTCAACTTTTTACCAGGCCAACACATCAAAACAGGTTCAACAAGCTTATGAAGTGCAGCCCAAAGTATGTCCTGTGCTAGAGGGTGAGGGTAAAAAAGATCTTCCTGCAGCAAAATCACAAATCATTAATAGATGAAGAAGTTGCCCCAAAGTGGAGAAAAACAGTGTGGTTGCATAGGAGTACTATGTTTTTTCTAAGTAGGACTGTAGGAGTATCATGGTTGAACAATAGTATCATGTTAGGGAATTGAGACTACTATATTAATCCCTAATAATGCTAAAATATAATGGTATGATTTCAGGATGGCACTACTTTAATCTTATTTAGGTGAAAAACACAGTAACTTCTACTTGGTGAAATCACATCGTTTTTACTCCTACTTTCAAAAAGTTCCCATATTAACCATGTGCATCTAGCCATTTAAGATGAATCTCTTCACTCGGTTGATCGGTTCTCTACTTGTCTTTCCATCCTTTCCTTAAAAATAAGAAAATGATTGTTAAGGCCTGCAGTTCCATGGTTGATACTCTCATCTACTATGATTCATATACTACTCCCTCCGGTTCCTATTAAAGTTCTCACTTTCCTTTTTGGGATGTCCCTTATTTAAGTTCACACTTCCATTGTAGGAACAAAACAGTGCCAAACAGTGTTCAAACAGTGCCAAACAGTGCCAAACAGTGTCCAAACAGTGCCAAACAGTGTCCAAACAGTGCACTCCACAGTAAAGTCAAATTTATTTTCTTAATCTGTGTGAAGTCAAACTGAGAACTTTAATAGGAACCGGAGGGAGTATGTTTTATCAATCCGGTGTGGAACAAATCAGCCCAAACCGAGTTGGACAACATCCGGGTGTACAAATGAGCCAATAAATGATCAACACATAAACGAGCAATCTTTAATCATGAGCGTTAGATAAACAATCAACCCACAACTGACTTAACTTTGATATCATATTAAGGCCTGATGTTCCTTCTTAGAAGGCCTGAGCAAAAAAAATCATTCTAATAAATAAATATATAAGATTTTAGGTTACTTTTGAGTCCTAATAAATGATCAACAACTTCAGTTGAAGTTGTCCTAGGAGGGATATAAATAAGGAGCAAAAAAATTCATTCTAATAAATAAATATACAAGATTTGAGGTTACTCTGAGTCCTAATAAATGATCAACAACTTCAGTTGAAGTTGTCCTAGGAGGGATATAAATAAGGAGCAAACTGTTCACTAACAAAGTGATTGAGATCTCACTAGTAACTACAACTATTGCTACCAAACAAGAACCTTTCTTTGAACTGAAAGTTGGGCAAATATCTTTATTTAGTCGGTCGGTAAGAGGCAAAGCCTGTACTGTAAGGAGCCTCAAATCAAGCTCCTTCAAAACGTCTATTTTTTCATAAAGCAAGTAGCTCTGTAGCTAGGCTACAGCACATCGCAAGAACATCAAGATCTCAGGGTTCTACTAGTAACCAGTAACAGGTTTGTCAATAATATATTAATGTCCAGTCATTGCATGGGAAAGCAAGTTTTTGATCAGAGTGAAGAAGTTTTTATTTACAATGGGATATTCTATATTCTTATAGGATACAATCGAGTTTAGTCACTCAAATGGATCATAATTAACATATGCCAGACCACACGAAAAGATTAAAAATAACCAATCAGCTTAGTTCAACTTAGGATCTTCTAAAATCTAAACCCATACTTCTGTCGTTAATATTTTGGTATGGGAACTAAAGGATTCTATGGGTTAATGTGACAAGAACATATAGTTAAAGGTTGAAGTTTGTAGTACAAGGAGTGTACCAGAATTAGAAATTGAGAGTTAAATATGAATAATTTATAAGCACTCTTAAAAGATTGGAGTACAAGTTTTACACACCTTTGCGCATTGGTTCCGTGCCTGGTCCCAGTTGATTTCATGATACATGACAGTGAATAACTCCTTCCTCAAAGATAAAACTACTGGCGTAATTGGACCAACAAACCTTTTCCCATACAAGTAGGACATAGGCAGATAAACCATCCGGCAGTGGCACCACATTCTTCCTGTGGAATTGGTGGATGTAGAAGTTTCTTCAGACAAGGCAATAAATACAACAACAACAACAACAACAACAACATTCCAATAATAAAATAGCTATGGAATTGACAGCTTCTGTCTTAAATGTTGGTTCAGGAATACCAATTTGCAATGGACCCTTACAATAGCAACTATTCTACGCATTACCCTCTCATGACTTTTCTATTTCCCGTTCAAGTGGAAAAAACTTAGGGTATTGATGACTTTGGAATTTCATATCCTTATTTCTTTTCTAGAAGGTCACGACAGGAAGGGCATTTGGCATACAACTTTAACTGCTTCTTTGCATGAACTCAGAGTTGTTAACTGATTTTTAATTGACACTGTTGAAAAGAGAATCTCTATTATTATCAGTTCATACTTTGAGTACCAAGAGTTCCCATATATAGAGGTTGCTCAATGAATTTAGGCATGATAACAATGATGATGATACTTATAAAAGAAAAGACTTAATGTTGTTGACCCTGATGTAGTGATGATGATGATACTTGTGAAAAAAATCAATCCCCTATGCTTAAAGATACTCTTAGTTTTAAAAGCCACGAGGAGGCATGAGACATTTTTGTTCAATTTAGCCGAGGCGCGAGGCACACCCCTCATGAAACTTAGCCACGTAGCTTTGCCAAACTACATTTATACTACTTTCTACATGAAGCCTTCTGACAAAAAAATTTACAATCACATAAAAAAATGACGCATATTGGAGGAGTAATATAATACTACATACGGAGTAATACTCAAGCTTCTTAAATAGTAAAAAAACTGATAATCTATTATTAATAGTAAAAAGCTTAAACAGTTCTAAACTGATACTTATATATATATATATATATATAGAGAGAGAGAGAGAGTAGTGTTCCGGTCAGGAATTCCTGACCGGAAACGCCGTCCGGACAACGGCTTTTGGGGACCTTCCCGGTGGAGTTTTTTGATGAAATTTTTATGGCATGTTCTTCATCATGTCTAGTTTATCCACAAAAAATTCAGCTAAAAACTAAATCGTGAAGGTCGTCAAATGATTTTTACAAGATAACTGCGCCGGAAAATACATATAAAGTAATAAAACGCAGTTAACTTGTAAAAATCATTTGACGACCTTCCAGATTGAGTTTTTAGCTGAAATTTTTTGTGGATAAACTAGACTTGATGAAGAACATGCCATAAAAATTTCATCAAAAAATTACATCGGGAAGGTGGCCAAACGCCGCCGTCCGGACGGCGGTTCCTGTCCAGAATTCCTGACATGAACATTTGTCTATATATATATATATATATATATATATATATATATATATATATATATATATATATATATATATATATATATATATATATTGATTTGTCTAATCAAACACAGTTTATTAGTAAAAAAATCAAACAATCTGATAGTAAAAATCAGATATATAACAATCTGGCTATGCAAGCTCAATTACCTGATATAAGTACAATTTGATCATATATAAACTGAGCAAGTAACATATATAAACTATTACTTATATATAACAAATTTATCATGTATAAATTGAGCAAGTAACATATATGAACTATTACTCATATATAGCAGTTTCATAATATATAAACTGAGAGAGTAACATACATAAAAGCATACATAGAGCATATTAATAGTAAAAAATTAAATGTACAAATTGGACAGCTATAACCTGGGTGGATTGGAATAAAATACGGAAGAAGCCATATTTCCGGAGGAAGAGGGTTATTTCCTGACCATTCAAATACGCCAAGCACCTAGGAGAACAAAGTCCCAGTGTTATGGAAGTCACAATATTAGTAGTAGAGAGAGAGAACTAACCCAGCAAAAGCAAGAGGAACTACAGTACAACATAAAAGTTAAAAGTACGGAACTGAGAGCCACATTTTTCCCCACGATGTTATATATGTGGCACCACCATGATCTAGAATCCATTTCTGGCCCTTCTCCATTGCCCCACCTCCATCATTAGCTCCCTCCCCAAGGAGTCTTAAGGTAACATAGCTTAAAACAGAACCCAACATGGTACTGTGGCTTTCAATATGCAAACCCCAGCCACCATCACTATTCTGCAATTCGATCAATACATAAAACATTTATCAGAAAATGAAAAGCCACACACAGAAACAGAATCCGATATGCATTATTACATGATTCTTGCCTGGTGATTGTAAAGATAACGGCACATCTCACGTCTATGCTCTTTTGCTAACACTGTATTCAATGCCCCAGTAACAGAAAGAGCAATTACCTATTTCATCAATATTTTATATGTATAATTTTATGCATTTAGCATGTTCATAAATTGAGATAATATACAAGTTCACATCTAAATGCAGGAATTAATAACATAGTCTTTATAGAATCACTATGTACGCACTAACCAAACCAGGCATTAAAAACATTGGACCTCCATAGTCTCCTGGCCAATGACCATCTTGAGCTTGTATGCTCGAATGAAAAGTTACTGCCCTTTTCAGGGTTGTAGTTACTTTATCTCTTGTAACATCTTCATTGTCCTTTACTGTTACTTGAGGTAACAGTGTGCTTACCGGGTTCTCCTTAGCAAACTACAGTCCAAGAAGAAAAAATAAAAAAAGTCAGAAGAATCGTAGAGCACCTGATTTTGAGAAATTGTCAGCTTGCCTACTGCTTAGCAATACGTGTAAATGCAACAGTCATTTAGAGATTCTCAGTAAAAAATATGCTCTTCCCTTTCAGTAATTTTCCACTAAATAGTCAAAATGTTCAGCAAAACAAAGCAACTTTTGAATTTATATTTAACTATTTATGTTTGATAAGATATCAGAGCTAAAGTGTGACATAAGCCATTCACTAAACAACCACCTGATAACGCATTAGAAGATCCCAACTGTGTTTCTGTTGGAATCTGTTCTTGCGAAAATTCTCGCGAAACTTTTCGATCTCCTCCAATTCTTCGGGAGTGCCAAGGTTCGGATCGAAGTCCCAAGTCTGACGGCCGGCGTGGCTGTTCAGAGTCCGCAGCCATGGGCTACCTCCTTCTGCTGTCTTGAGCTTCCACATTATTTATTAATCGCTATAACAACATTCATCTGATGGGCAAAATACACAAAATGAAAAATATACGATTGCAGTCGTTCTCAATAATAAAAATATGCGGAGATTCATAAATCATAGTAAAGCTCACGGCGTGACTTCTTACCAGAATCATTATGGTTACATTCACATTTATCTTACTATATATACAAAAGGAGAACAAAATCTAGCATTGAAAGTATGCTATATGTGCAGTCAACATTTATTGGCCCAATGTTGTTGAAAAGATAAATTGTCTAATCACATATCAGAGTACAATTATATGCCTAGAAAACTGTACAAAATTGAATAAAGTCATCATCACCAAAATAACTCTTTCATTATTAACAACTGAATTCAATTGCACTTTCCATTCCACAAAAAAACATCAGTACCAATGAATGCGTGATAAAAAAAACTATTGCATACAGTTTTAAATGAAATCAGGCTATTTATACATAGTGAATCTACCTTATCTAAATTTACACATCAGAAATAGGTCTTGAAGCATCACAAAAATAACTATAAAAATAACCATATTAGTTTAACTTGATGTTGAAGAATAACACTAAATCAATACCTAAAATTTGGGTCAATTTCAAACATTTTCTATGCCAAACTCATAAAGATTTTATGAACCTAATGACTTACAAATACTTCAGCTTTATTTTTCAAAATAACACAGAATCCAATAGTTAAAAAGTAACTATGGTGGCTGATTTTAAACTATAGCAGTACTATCCAACTAATTTTAAATTCAATTTTCTCTTAAAATAAAAGTCAACTCATTTTTTTAATAACATAAAAAAAGCATGTCTATATATCAAAAAACTATGATTTACATGAGATACAGATTTTAAAATAGAAATTCTTTACCTTCCCATCAATATCTTGAATAAAAACAGTGTTCGAAATTGTGCATTGCGGAGTTGAGGAGTTTTTTCCAAGACAATATGCTTAAGCCTCATTGCGCATTGAAGCATAAGGCTAAGACATTAATCTTAATGTGTAGGAAAAATTTCATCATCATCATTTCATCATCATTTACCCCAGTGCCGCAAAGGCTCCCACCTACGGTGGGGTAAGGGGGTCGGATGTACGCAGTCTTACCCCTGTCCTAAAGCAGGGAGAGACTGTTTCCGGATGACCCAGTGAAAATCGCGTCCAAAATTGCATGGACTGACTGCTGCTTCATAACAAAGAAGCGCAGACAGTTTAGTGAGCCATTTTGCTTTATTCCATTATATTCTCAAGCCAAAAAATAGTGAATCTTTGAATCCATTGCAAATGATGGAAAGAATGTGTAGGAAAAATTTATATAAAAAAATTATAAGTACTAAGAAAAAAAATCATTCAAAATAACATACGGGGTATTTAATTACCAAACTAACAATAATGTCATAAAATAATGGAAATCTTGAGTTGAAAATGACAACATAGAAATTGTTTATTCTAAGATTCTATGTTTTTTATTGACGAATGCAAAAGAGAGTTGCTAATGGTAATATTCAAACATGATTTGAAATTTTAGTATAATACAAATTAAAAAAAATCAAATTAAACGAAATGTAAGGCTTCACTAAGAATAAAGGAAAATTTTGAAAATAAATAATTAAAAACATTGCCTATTGCCTAACACAGAGAAAACATAATAAAATTTGTGGCAAGAAGTAATTTCGAGCCTAAACAAACATACAACTAAGAATTGGAATCTAACTGGAAATCCTCTCAAGACACCAAAAGGATATTACCTGCGGCGTATCAGAAGTCCAGAAGGATACTTCGAAACCCACTCAAAGTAATACGTAGTATACTTTTTGTATACTTAAGCACGCCGACGCACGCCCAGGGACAGCGGATGCAAATAAGAGCCACGCAGAGGGACGAGAAGCTTACAAAAGAGCTGGTGTAAAAAAAATTACTAGTAATACTCAGCAGTCAGCAGAGAGGGATAGGTGGACTGCCACATGCTAATCACAAGAAGAGATAAGTATTTTGGTCGTGTGGGCCCATCTTTTTCACGTGATCCGGAGACTCATATCTTGAACTTATTTCAGATTATAATGATAAAACACATAAACAATCACGAAATTAGACCAAATCATACGGAGTATATCAGAAAATTTGAAAGTGGAAACATTTCATGGAAAACTCTCATCCCATGGCAATTTCGCGGATACAGCACTAAAAATTAAAATTTTAGTGATAAAAACAAATACGGAGTACTCTGTAACCATTACATGAGTCCCCAGTTACTTTCGTCTTTCATACCTGCTGAACAGGGAATCGCCACCTGGGAAGCACAGACTCTACGACTGCAATTAAATCTGGATTGGAGAATGCCGAAGTGCCGATACTAGCCGCCCCCCGCAAGCCTCTTCCCTCGCATCCCGTTTGCTGCAAGTCCCAAACTCCCAGTCGGACAGGGGAGATTGATAAGCTCTGGTCGACTAGCCGTTTGCCGATTCGCAAGTATTCACTGTTCAGTATCTCCCGTTTCAGTTTCAGCGTGGTCGGGCCGGTCGGCCGATAGGCTTATGTGCGGTAGTCTAAAGGGATGTCTTTTACAGAGAAATGCGCGTCGCTGCAGATAAAACCCGTTTTGATAACGTCTCCAAAATGTTTCCGTGATTCCTAGGCACCGGAGGCTGGAGCGGGACTACGAGCGATGAAGGCTAGCTGAGTGTGTAGAAATATGAAATCAAAGATTATCTTACTGATTCGGCCATGGACTCTGAATCCGGAGAAATCTGAAACCTAAGCCACAGAACTCGTCGATTTAATTCAATGGAGCGTCCTATGCTTCTACGAAATCTGAATAAGATTGGAGAAGTATGATTGAGTGAGCTATGAAGAACAGGAGAAACTTAGATGCGTATGGGAGTGACGATTAATGAGGAAGAGGCCCCCATTATTGATCCTACTAAATCGTTAGCATGTGCCAGTTCGAAGAGTGGCTGGCATAACGGTTAACACCCGTAGAAATACCGGCTGGCATGTGCCCGTGCGAAGAGTGTCATTATTGATGTTAATGGATGTTTACACACAAAGTGTGTATAAGAGTGTGTACAAACATCATTTTTGTTAGAATGGTCTTGACAAAGCAGTCCGACCGTAATGAATGTGGTTTTGATAGACTATAAGTCTAGAGAGAAGTGAGAGCTAGAGAGAGAAGTGCAATAAGTTCTGTAATTAATGAATTTATCAACTCCTACAACTACCTCCAGAGGAAGTATTTATAGGAAAAATGCAGGCTGGGCTCCCAAGTCTTGGGCTTGGGAGCCCCATTTACAACTGGACCGCTATTGGGCCGAATACAAAGTAAATGGTAGAGTACACAAATGATTAAGTGCAAAATCCTGTTCTGGGAGTTCTTTATGGCCGATGAGTGCGTGGCCGACGAAGACCCGGCCGACGAGGTCACCCGGTTTTTTGGCTTCCGGGTCATATTCTGGGTTGACTTCGTTCCGGCCGATGAGGGTCATCTGGTCGATGAGGGTCCCACTAGGTGACAGTTGTGCCTTCTTTTCTCTTGAGTATGTGGGTCCTGGGGCCTAGACCCATATACTCCATCAGGAGTCCCCCACTCTCTAAGTTGAGATGTAGACGAAGTGAAGGAGAGTAGATTCATGTTCTTTTCGGGCTTGGCCGTTGCGTGTCCCCTGTTGTGGACGAGAGAGACCCTGGCTATGCGGATGGTGCATGTTCTTTGCTTTCTAGGACGATGAGTGCTCTTTGTTTTGTGTGTTGTTGATCACTTATTGTGCCTTTGGTCGAGGCGATGTGTAGTGGTTTGTTTGCCCAAGGTCTTGGGGACGATGATGGTGCTGAGCCGTTAGGCGCTGCATGTCCCCGGTTCTTGGGGACGATGAGCATGTTGCACTTTTGCCCTGGCCGGGAATGGAACTTACAAGGACCTTGAAGCTGTTGTGATGCATAGCCGATATGATCACGTTTGTAGTTGTGTACTTGTGCATTTTTGAATTCTCGTTCTATCTTTGCGTTCTTGAGGCCGGTGTAGTCCCTCAGTCTCCCACTCCTTCAAGCCGAAGAGTTTCTAAGGGGTGAAGGAGTAGTTTGAGACCCATGCCGAAGCGGGATCCTCATGCCGCCCTTGAATCCAACCCTTTGGTGATTTCCTGACCAAGGTAACCCTGTGGGAGAACCCTTGGACGCAGGTCGCTTTCAAAGGGTTATCATCAAGGGTTTTTGTGCGAGGGCCGATGGCCGTTAGGTTTCCTTTCCTTATGTTGTTGTGACCGTTGCAAGGCCCTTCTTTACAGAATGTGTATGGCCGTTTGACTGGCCGATACAGGTATCACCTAGATAGCCGTTGTCTGTTTTGGCCGTTGAATGCCTTGGCCACTGTAGGTGCTATTTGCCCGTACCTCGAGTCGTAGAGTTTGCCTTGCTGATCCCTGAAGTGGGCCTGGTCCGTTTACGAAGTGATGGCATCCCATTGGTGGCCGTTGGTGTGGCCACTGGGGTGGTGCCACGTGTAACGACCGTTGGGGGAGCCTATAAATACCCCCCTTTCTCCAAAGGAGTTCGCCCATTCGTTTTCAGAGCTAACAAAGTTGATGGAGTATATGGCCCGGGAACCCCCGGCCCACAGACTCCAGCTACTCCAGTAAAGGCCCAACAGGCCCAGAAGGCCCAACAGGCCCAAATCATGGCGCCCAGAGTACCAAGCAGCCCACAGAGCACCAGGGGTGCCTTCGACCCCCTGGCCGAAGGCTCTAAACTCTCACAGAACGGGTTTCTCAAGCAAACTAAGAAACTGGGAGAAAACGGCGAGAACAGTAGCCCTCGGCACCAGGAGCCCTCGGCACCAGGGTGCCCTCGGTTTGAGGAGCCCTCGGCTACTGCTCTATAGCCGAAGGCACCTCACTCGACAAGATCTCCTCTTCACGCGCGTACAGATCACCGTACCCTGTACAACGTCCCATCCAACAACCGCATTAAATGCGGCCACATGCGGTTGCCAGCGTCAACCGGATGAGGTGACCTCTCGGCCAATGGATGCTTGACACGTGTCCCTGTCCGGCATTTATTGCTACTATAAATAGCCCCCCCCCCCCCTTTCCCCGTTGTAAACCACGACATTCAGACTGAATACTCTCTCTCTCTCTTACTTACTTGTGCTCTGACTTCTCTCTAAGTTATTCTCTGCAATAACCCCTCGGATATATACCCCCCGGGTACACTATCCATCATTTGGTGCTCTCGTTGAGAGGTCGAACAATCGAGTAAGAAACCCTCCCCCTTCGCCAAACACTAGCCCTCTACCAAAATGGTGAGAACAACACGTGCCAACTCCAAAAACGTAGAAGACAAGAACCTGGCCCTCGGCGACGTCAACGCCCCCGAAGCCTCTCACAGGGCTCCCGAGGGCGGTGTCATCGCTGGGCTGGAACAGGCGGCTGTCGACCTACGCCTTCAGATCCAACAGAATGCCCCGATGCCCGCCTCGGCATCGAGGCCAAGAAGAAAAACCGGAGCGATGACCAAGTCAGCCCTCCGGTTCTCACCATCGACGTGCAATCAACACTCTCCGCCTTCATCCAAACGCTCACTCAGAACCCGGGTGCCTTCGGCACCCTGGCTCCGGCTCACCCCCAGGTTGGGGATAACATCATACTTCCCCCTCTGCCACACCCCTTCGGAAACCCCACCCCTCGGGTTAGGAACGACGAAGGGGTAGTGGCCCAAGATACGTCCTCCCAGGAAGTTCAGTCCCGGGACCGCCACAATGACAACAGAGAAAGGCCCCGCACTTCCGCCCTCAACCGGCTCGGAGGAGGGCCAGACCGCCGAGGGGTCCAAGACCGCCTCGGAGGGAAAGCACTCCAAAGGCCCCAGGAAAGCGGAGGGTCTGTCTCGAGGGCAGACGAGGAGCGTCCCCCTCGGGACAAAGGCAAGGCACCCCTCCATGCCGATGATGCTCGCCACCAAATCAACCAGGCCCACTCGGCCCGGGTTCGTTCGCAGGGGGCGGAGACCCTCCCGAAGGATCCCCGGGACGAAATTATTGCGGCCCTCCAACGCCGGCTTGATGAAATGGAGGCCAACAAAGCTCATGCCACCACCTCCACCCCTCATTCAGACCTCAAATACGAGGCCATGATGATCAAAATGGAGGAATTACAGAAGAAGGTGGCCGAGGGCTCCGGGGAACCCGTAATCCAGCTCCGGACCCGGACGCCATTTACCCCAAAGGTATTGACGGCCCGGATCCCGGAAAAATACCGAGGGCAACACATACAGCCCTACAACAGGAAGACGGACCCTAGGAACACTACAGCAAATACCAGAACAGCATGATGATGGTAGGTGCGTCAGACGAATATTTGTGTTGTTGGTTCCTCTCCACCTTAGAGGGGCCGGCTACGAATGGTTCAACCGGCTGCCCGAGGGCTGCATTGATTCGTGGCAAGAACTCGCCCAGCGATTCTTGACGCAATTTGCCGGGAGACGTCGCACGAGGAAGCACTTCTCCCACCTCCTAACCATACGACAGAAGAGGGATGAGACCCTTCGGGACTTCCTGGAGCGCTGGAGGACGGAGGCCGACAAAGTCGACGGTGCTGATGACGGGACCCTCCTGGCCCTCCTACAGACCGTCCTCCGCACTGGCAACTTTTCAAGGAGCCTCATCATTGAACCCCCCCGCGACTACATAAGGGCCCTGCAGCGGGGGGACCGATACGTTGAGGCCGAGGAGGTGGAGAAATACCATCAGCACCCAGATCAGCAACCCCCGAGGGCTGACAACAAGAACAACCGGGGGGCGGGGGCTCCTCCGAATCACCCCAAGTCTTCAGGACCCTCTGATGACCGCCCTCGGCAAGGACAAACCAAGCCCGGGGGAGGTTATAAGAACAACCCTAAGACTTGGGCACAGCCCATTCTCCTGGACCGCCCCCGGACACCATTGACGCACCCCGTCAGCATCATCCTTGATTTTGCCGAGGAGAGGGGCCTCGTCGAGCGCGATTCTCGCGCACCCCCGGAGGTACATGCTATCAACCCTCAGTTTCCCTACTGTCGTTTCCACCGGCATCAGGGGCACAGGACCGATGACTGCCACCAGCTAAAAACGGCCATCGAGAGATTAATACAAGCGGGACACCTGTCCCAATTTGTTCAGAGCCCTCGGCAGGAGGGACCTTCTCATCAGGGGCCTCCCCGAGGGCACCACACGAAGGTGAATGCTTGGGTGAACCCGAATACCATCCCCCTCGGCAAGAAGAGGGAGATCGGAAACTTGGAAGAAGAAGAGGGGGAGTACCCCCACTACCAGGAGAAAAAACGCCACATCCTCATGATCACCGGTGGCAATACAGGGGGCGATTCCACCAGCCAGCGAAAGAAGTGGGCTCAATCGCTTTACGTGGGGGAAGTCACTCATATGCCCCCGGTAAAGCGACTGAGGGAGAAACCCATCACCTTCACCAACGCAGATCTCCCTCCTACTTCTTCTCCTCACAGGGATGCCTAGGTGATTCGGACTGAAATAAACGACACCATCATTCACCGAACTTACATTGACACGGGCAGCTCCGTCAATGTAATGTACCTCAGCACCTTCAGAGAGCTGCATCTGGAGAGGGGGTCCCTTCGGCCCATTAAGACCCCTCTTGCCGGCTTCACCGGCGATACTATTGATTCCGAGGGGGTAATAACCCTCCCGGTGATCTTCGGCGACGGGCTCCATAGAGCCTAGCTCGAAGTGGAGTTCGTCGTCGTCAACATCGACTGCGCCCACAACATCATCCTCGACCGGCCAGCCCTCGAGGACCTCGAGGCCATCATCTCCATGAGGCACCTCTGCCTCAAGTTTCCCGCCGAAGGGGGCATTGGCTACTCCCGGGGGAACCAGAAAATCGCCCGCGCCTGCTATCTTCAAGTCACTAAGAAGGTAAGTAAGACGGAATTCCGTGTTGACACCATCACCGGAACCATCGACCAAGAAGAAAAAAGGCCGAGGGCTGAACCAGCCGAGGAAGTAGAAGACTTTGCACTCGATCCGGCCCAGCCGGAGAGAGTCGTGAAGATTGGAGCCCAGCTCCCTGAAGATCTGAAGACCGGTATCACTGACGCCCTCCGCGCCTACTCCACTGTCTTTGCATGGGGGCCGGAGGACATGCCGGGAATAAGCCGAAGGGTCATCACCCACCGCCTCTCGGTGGACCCTTCGGCAAAAGCAGTACAGCAACGAAGAAGACCCCTCTCCGCCGAGAGGAGGGAATTTGTGAAGAAGGAGGTCGCCATGCTCCTCTCTATTAAGCACATCAAGGAGGTAAAATACCCCTCATGGCTGGCGAACGTAGTCCTCGCACAGAAGCCTCCTACCTTCCGCATGTGCGTGGACTACAC